CGTGGGTCGTCGCGACCGCGACGCTGTCGGCCATACTGATTTGATTGTAAGAAGTGCGTAAGACAGCTTCGGAGCTGTCGTAGGATTTTGTCGTAACCTGCGCAAAACTTACGAAAATTTCGTTTCGTAAATACGAATTTGTTCTTATGTTTTGTCTTACGCACATTTTTGGCGTAAGATCGTTTTGTGAACCTGGCCTCTGCACTTCCGAAAGTCGCAGGAAAGGTAAGAACTGACGCAGACGACGTTGCAAAGGAGCAGACGACGCTCAGATAGGGGGTCGCGATCAGCCAATCAGAGCTCAGCGTTCTGACGTCGCCGCTACCCCCCTGCGCGAGAAGCAGACGAACTTGCCCTCCGCATAGCAATAGGTCTATTGTACTTTCCTCGGAAAGTACCAAAACAAAATACTTTAAGTAAAGTACAAGTATACATACTCGGAGAATGTACTTCAAGTATAGTACAAGTTTCCTAAACCTACTTGAAGTAGTACTTTAAGTACAATGTACTTAAATTATTTCCCAACACTGGTCGAACGCCATCTAGACGCTGCGTTTCGAAACGTGTACGTATCCCATAGAATACACTGTAGTTCCCATAGCAGCCGTCGAGCGCGTCGAACGGCGGGAGGCGAGTCGTGGTGAATGAAGGGGGTACTGCTCGTGCATGCAGCGTCTATGAGCAGTTCCGTAACTGATCTAATCTAATAACGTTGGCAGTGCCTACACACGCGGACGCGGGCTTGTTTGTAAACAGTGTGTTTGTGTATAGATGACACGCTTCCCGAATGAGTATACAACCGAGCAAAGTGTTCTACTCGGGAAACGTCGCGCGGCTCATTGATGAACGTCTTCATACACTGCAGAGTGTCGCTAAACAAAAAGTTGCGGCGAGCCGCAACGCTGCTCGAAATGTAGGCCTAGCGACAAGCGAGAAAACACGCGGCAGGGAGTTCCAATAACACGAAGAGAGGAGGACACGACATTGGTTGGCTTGTTGGCCCAGCGCGCGCGCTCGAGTCGATCGCTGGATCACAGCTGTGTGCGCACAAAACCAGCGGGTTTCCGAATTCCAAATAGGACGCATTGTCTCGAAGAAGGTAGACGGTGGGTCGATGCGATCGAAGGCACAAGTCAGCGACTGCATAAACGCGGCTATGGTCACGGGTGGTGATAAAACCTAAAAGCATAAGGGAAGGGGGGTTCGCGGAGCGGTACAGAACCGTCGCCGAATTCGTTTAGTTCTGCTAGTTCTGCTGCCGTGGTTTTGTTGTCATCTTTTTTTTTTTTTTTTTTTTTAGCACGTTTAGAATGATAACATTTCGTTCCACCATAACTAAAACTCCGTGTTTTCAAAGCTTTTTTTTTTTTTGGTAAAGCTTGGAGAGTGCTCTTTGGAGTTGATATATCGTTGAACATTCGAGGTTTAGAGGAGTATCTTTTTCGTAGATTTCTGATTCCTCGAAGTTCAGAGTTTAATTGTACTCTGCTTTTATTTTATAGCACAGCTCTTAGGCGCCTGTTTCCGGCTTGAGCGCCGTCGGTGTAATCGTGCGGTGCATTATGGGAAATGTCCCGTAATGCAACGCGCGGGACTCGTGACGTCACCAGGGTCACGTGACCCCACGAGGGTCACGTGATGCCATGGACGGGCAAGGAGGACAGGAGGAGGAGATGATACGGATGAGGAGGAGGGGCATAGCCTCTCTGTACCTTTCCCTCCTCCTCCTCAAGAACTGCGCTCTATTTCGGGGTTACAGGAAGTTGTAAAAGCCTTTCACTTTTTTTATATTATCCGGTCAAAAGCGTAAACTAAATTCGTGAAAAAAAACGGTATCGAAGATAATTTTGCAGCTGTATTTGGCATTGCCGTCCTTGCGATTAGCAGTACTACTAACTGTCCCACCACAAGTCTTGCAAAAAAGTGTTACTTCAAGGAACGTCAGTACTTGGAAATAGTGAAGCTCCTAGACGCTTAAAAACTTCAGCTGCTTTCCCCATCCTATAAAATCTACATGTTCACACAGGCACGTAGCCAGGGGGGCGGCCCATGGAACGCGCCCCCCCCCCCCCCCCCCGAAATCTTCGATTTTGCTGGGACCCTCCTCTCCCTCCCTTCTCCCCCTCATTCAGCATTTTATCATATGGGCGCCCCCCCCCCCCCCCCCCCTAAACAAAATCTTGGCTACGTGCCTGTGTTCACATCTTGCACTGGTAGAAAACACAACCCCTCCTCCCTCCGAGAAGCACAGATAGTATGGTCCAAGTTGGAAACCGGAACAGCGCACGGCTTTTGTCGCGGTCCAGTACATTGGCCCGTTGTACTGAACGAACCTTGACGAGATAAACAAGGCCTCTTTTTGTCAATATTCCGACATAAAAAAGTTTTAAACAAATTAGCCGAAATCGTTGCTATATACTGTTACGCTGATTCTCGAAGAAATGTACGTAACAAAGCATGGAGAATGCAGCCTGTCAGCACCTTTCCGCGGGGTGTACATTCCCGAAGCCCAGGCTTCCCCCTGAGCTCGTTGCACGGCACGCGCCCCCCTCGCCCCCCCCCCCCCCCCCCGAAATTTTTTTCTGGGTACGGCCCTGGTCGGTGGCGGTGCACTTGCAGCCAGCCGATTTTAATCTCCACCTCTGCGCACGCGCAGTGGCACCGGTCGGCTACCGGGTACCAAACCGGGACCGGTTCTTCGGTTTGCTATAACTCTCCATTATATGCCACCGATGCACATGATTCATAGGCGAAAATAAGACAATAGACATTTTCAAAATGGCCGCCGTTGTCCCCGAAACCCCCCCCCCCCCCCCCCCCCCCCCCCCCCGAAATTTTTTTTTCTGGGTACGGCCCTGGTTCGAGCCCCACCCCTGCCCGTTTCGATCTGGATGAGCATCGTACCGGCGTGCGGTCGTGTATCACTACTGCGTGATGTACGTTAAAGACCCCAGGCTAGCGGTTGTACCGCACCGGCTAAATTTCTCATCTACAGCTGGGAGACTCGTCGCCCTCTTTTTCTTTTTTTCTTGACACCGAAGAACATGGCGGCGCTTCAAGCATCTACATCGTAGGGTGCCTACATGTCTGTCTGTCTCAGGGTGGAGACATCCATTGTTGTCCTGAATATGCCAGCGCGTGAGGCTCTCGCGCACTCGGTGCGTGACTTGGGCGGTAAAATGGCGTCTATGCATTAGCCAAAGCTACGCGCTCGAGCTGAGTGACACCGGATTGCACGCACTTCAAGATGCATAAAAAAAACGATTGGGGGGAAAAATGGCTGAGATGTCACCACTCAAGCAAAAGCGCGCGTTTGTATGTAGGCACTCTACTACATCGTCGGCGGCCGCAACCTCGACAGTAGCGAAACCTGCCCGTCCACGTAAGTAGACCGCAGACGAACTAAGGGAGCGAAATAACGCAGCACAACGAGCGAGGAAGCAGGCAGCAAAATCCACCATCGCTGTCAAGTCTCCGAATACATTAGGGGGATCGGTGGCCGAGTGGTCTAGCGCACACCAGCTCGGAGCACGTGGAGCGAAAGCTCGCGCTGCAGAACCCAGGGATCCTGGGTTCGAGCCCCACCCCTGCCCGTTTCGATCTGGATGAGCATCGTACCGGCGTGCGGTCGTGTATCACTACTGCGTGATGCACGTTAAAGACCCCAGGCTAGCGGCTGTACCGCACTGGCTAAATTGCTCATCTACAGCTGGGAGACTCGCCGCCCCTGTGAGGCAGACCAAGTTCTAGGCTGTATAAACACAAAACACAACCCAATTTTTTTTTTTTTTTTTTTTTTCTCCGAATACACGACGGGCGGAACGAGGAGCGGCGCAACGCGCGGGGAGGCAGAACAAAGCCTTTCGAAAGCGTGAGGCGCAAGCGGATGGATGGATGGATGGATGAATACGGCTGAGCCCTTTGGATCGGGCGGTAGCTTACGCCACCTAGCCATTTTGTTTTACCATTTAAGCTTAGAATATTTAAATGTGAAATCTATATTCACTCCGCAGTGCAAAGAAAGTGAGGCTATGAAACCCCCTTGCCATCAGTGAATAAGAAAATACCTAGTTTTCTCTCGATTTCTGCCACCATTCACTTAATCTTTGCTTGGTAATCTCTACAATCTTGAAATCCACTCTCCCTTCGCTGTCTCTAAAACCCAATGACTTTATTAAATCTATGTTGTCTTCGGTAGGCATAGGGTGAAGCCCTTTACAGTAGAGTATCAAGTGCTCAGCCGTCTCGTCCTCCTCTCCACAAGCAGCGGATCGTGATTCAAAGCGTTCCAGGCGGCAAAAGGACGAGGCGCTTCGACAACGCGAGGCGGAAGCAATGTGTCGCATGCGGCATGCTTTCGGATTCACGACTCATAAGAAGTGCTTAGATATCCTCGGACATTTTTCTTTCTTTTACATAGTAGCAATTTTTTTAATGCAACATCGCAAGTCTTGTGACATATCCAGCTGCCATCGTAACCTTTAAGTTCCAGAGAAGAAGTCCGCAAACAAAACAGCTTCTGGTCGGCTTTGTTCCATAGACTGAACGTTCACTCCTCATGCTGCACTGGGTTGGATTCTCAAGTATTCGGGTACTTGATGAAATCAGCAAGGCTGCCTCGGGGAAATACCCCGTCAATCTCCAACGGTTTTGTTTTGCACGCTACCTTTGAAAGTGGGTCCCCTCTTTGCTTTTAGGACAGAGGTTGGGTACTATTCATGATCTGTGAAGTGCCTCGATTCCGAATTCAGTGGCACTTAACATGTAAAAAATCGCCAAGTTCATTACGAAAAAAAAAAATAGTGCAACCACTAGAAAACTTGCTGCTGCTCAGCCAGTTTCTGGGTGACTAACCGTAATCTGTCACTTCACACCATTTACTCGACCCTAAGACTTTGTTACAGCAATTCAACTAAAATATTTCTAGCAAATCATTACAGGTCTGCAAACAAGGCCGCTAACATAAATAAAAACAGACATTTGCAAGAGCAAGAATGAAGTACCTGCTGAAATAGTTTGTCCGTTTTTATTCCGAAAACACAACTTTGTACACAGGCATAGAAATCTGACTAGAACCTCAAGAACTCGCACCTTCCTCGAGATCTGGAATGAATCGGACCCGCCCATTAACACACACACACGCACACGCTCGAAAATGCATGCTTCAATAAACTCAGGAAAAAAAAGGATTGCAACGGGCCGATTGTTTTACTCCAACCTTCAGCTGAAGCTTTACACCAAACCAGGTATATGACGTCCAACACTCACTCTGGCATCCGGATATGTGAGAGCACCTATCACTGCTGTACCTCCTCTACAATGAAAAATAAATTAGGGTAAAACCAACACCTCCTCGATAACAAAGCCACAGTGCCGAGTCTTCCGCCTCAGTGAGGAGGGCCTTCTCGTCCCAGCCAAACGCCAGTGCCGCACTCCTGTCCAGTCCGCACCGTAAGTGGGCCTACCTTACTAACACAGAAAATTCAGTACTTTGTTGTCTGGGAGGTGTCAGTACAATCGCCTTCGTGTCACCCTGACAAAAGCATCTGTGCAAGTCTCCTCAGCTCAAAGTATGTGCGCTCTGCGATTAGACGGCCTACAAGAAAGCTCGGGAGACGTCCGAGGAGTGGTTCCGGTGCTACGGCGACCTTGAGATGATCAGCCAGCTGATCACGAAGTAGAAGAGGCAGATTGGGTAGATGGCCAACGCCTTCTTGGACGCGGGCTGGCTGTCTGCGAGGAATGCTGTGGATGCTGCGGAGGAAGAGAGATGTTCCGCAACTTAGGCGTGTTTTCAGCACGAATGTTGATCTTCGTGCATTTTTACCCTAGAGTCGTTGCACGTCTTCGAGTAGTCTGCAGGCTGACGCTTTCACTATTGAATATTGGTTCGAAACTGCTTGAAACTAGAATTATTCGAGAGCAAATGGTTTCTGAAACTTTAACCCTTTCGGTAGGTCGTCACCGAACACGTACTGTGGTGGTAACACATTTGAAAGTGCCCGCCTAAATGTGAAACTGTGCACCCTGCGGGAGGTGTTGCTATTTGTTACGTCTTTGATGAACTATGAACATTATATGCACACATTGTTTCGCATCGTTGGGATAGTTGTAGTTTTCGAAATAGACGATCCGCGAGCATGGTGCTTACTTCGTGTACCTTTTGCTCTGGCGGTAGCGCCAATGGGGGCACTGGCTCTCTCGACTCAGACTTCCAACGCTTTTCCGAGTTAAATTTCAGAGGACGAGGACTCATCATCCGACAAAGAAGTTCTGGAAAGCACCTTCGGCTAAGAATTTGAAGCCGCTGGAATGTTGTGGATGCGCCAAAATCAAACGAAATGGAAGAAAGATGACAACTTTTTGCCTTCAATATTTTCCTTTGATGCTCCTAACCCTAAATAGCTTGCAAGATTGGAACCACTTACCGGAAACCACTGTAGGTGCCTGTAGCCGGGAGGAGTTTGCATCTCTTACTTCAACATTTGATACGGGCACGGGTTGAGTTTGTTGTGTTCTATTGGAGACATTGCAACTAATTCATGTATGCATTGTGTTTGTTCCGGTGCAGGGCGGCGCGAACTGGGTTTGTGCATGTTTGACGACTGATTGTTGGGTTGTAGTTACTTTATTGTGTTAAATCTACTCATGTACCCTACTCCTATCCCGGTACTGCAAGGGACCGATAGTATTTTCAAATAAATAAATAAAAGCATCTGTGCATGCTCATGCTAGAAAATAAAAAATGTGTGCATTGACCCTTTCTTTAAACTATTTCTTTGCAAACAAAACCAGACCACCGGGGAACATCTCCTGGGGAAAAAGCTCGACCGTCGAAGGGTTAAGGATGACATACCTAAATATTCTAAATGCTATATATTGTAAGCACTGCATATTTGTGAGGTTATATTATGCATGATAAATCTTAAATTAATTTGATGAAATATTAGAATTCTTAAAAGAAAAATTTCGCAGTTGGAGCTGGTCCATGGGCTACGTAGCTAGGTGATTTACTTTTCGTGATTAGTTTCAATTTGTGAAGTCAGAAAAAATTAAACCAGTATGCAATTTATGTTATTTACGGTACATTCACCCGACGTTCCTGTCACCTGAACTAATTTCTGGTGGTAGTGTGAGCTATCCTATGAAAAGAGGTGCAGAGTCTTAAGGACACAGATGCATCTAACGGACCATCAAAGGCCCAGACTCACCAAAAGTGGCCCATCCGAAGCCAAGCATGGCCACAAAGAAACGGAGAACGAACAAGGCAATCGTCTGGCTTCCAGCAAGCATGATGAGTCGGCAGATCACCAGGGCCACACAAGGGGCAAGAAGGCAGTAGCCCAAGACACAGACACTCTGGAAAAAAGAGCTGAAACAACGTGGCACCTACCTTCAGTCAACAAGCGGCACACCGACAATGAGATCTTTCTTTAACCAGTTGCCAACACTCGGTGAAAGGGGCCATGAACCGATTAAGGCAAACTTGGGGGTTTGATGTGCTAAATCAACGAAAGGCATCTGGCAAGCCCCAGTGGAGAAACGACATCTTCAAGTTTGACCACCCGGGGATCTTATGACGTGCAATCGAAATTTTGGTTGCACGGTGCTTTCTCCGCAATGGGCCTCCATCAGAGTATGGGCAACTTGGTCGGGATAAACCATGAAACGATATTGGGCCCAGATTTTAATACCTGCATATTGCTTAGTGAGGCACAGGAACTAGCACTAAGGCTAGATAGCCACAAACGATTTCCAATGTGAAATCTAAAAAAAATAAGATTTTACGCATATTTTTTTTCTTTCTCTTTCTACGTTGGAAAGCTCTTTGACAGCTAGCAGGTGCAACTAGAAACAAATCAATGCCTCGTATAATACGAATGTCAGGGATAACGTATAAACGGTATTCAGTAAAATCGAGGGAAAGCAAAAATGCTTCGTGGTTCTTTAAAGAAAATTTAGCAATTTAATAGTTGAACGGTACGTACATCGTTCCACCCAGTAACCTGCAGTTCAGCGTCACAACAGCAGCACCGGCCCAGACGAGCACGAATATCTGGGCAAACTGTGGGGCTCCGTTGTGAACCTTCTCGTCTTCAGACTGCTGCAGCATCCTAGATTTAGAGTGGCAGGAACATTGGATACGTAAGTATGAATATTTCTTCAATTCAAAGAGCCCCTCATAATCAATCCTATTCTCTTGCCACTTGTTTGTGAAGGAAGTGAGACCAGCCATGCTGGTTCTCAATGTGCAAAAGAAAACTACTTGACGAATGGCCATGCCACTATGAATTTGCAGTCCAGCTACCGAGGAGATGGTGCCGCATTTAAGGGAGGTATGCACTGTGGTACTTTCCCTCATGCTGATCGCAAGTCACTGTATCTATGCTCTCAAAATTTCAAGCTTTGCAGCAGCCCTACCACTGCACCAGAAGGAAATTCCATTGGTACTTACGTTGCAAGGAAAACACAGAGGATGAGAGGTCCCCACAGGTCCCCTGTGACCAAAAGCAACACATTAGTAATGATGTCTTTTGGTCTGTTAGAAAAGCACCATTGTCTAAACAATTTCGAGTACAGCCACCTTTCCAAAAATTGCCTTTTAAATGGGCACGCTTTGCGTTTTATAGTCTGTCATAGCACTGGACTTGCCTACTTCCAAATGCTGGCGTTTGACTTACAATCTCTGAGGAGCGTGTTCTTTTGTCTGGGGTACAGCACATGGATGAACTTGATGCCGATTGCTTTGAGGTCCCGTGTCTGAAAAATAAAGCATTCAACGTCTTACACTAAATACACGTCAAGAATTTAGGTGTTAATGTCAGATTAAGAGTGACTGTGGGGGAAGGCACTATGAGAACATTCCAGTATCCTATGAGATTGGGCAATACAATTGCAGGTCTGTCAGAAAACTCATAGACACAAGTAATTTTGGGGTGACCGGGCAATTCACCGTTCTCGGAGATCGACAACGAACTCTGTTTCCTGTAAGGAATAAAATCTTAGCCTTTCTCTTATGCGAAACAACAAAGGCAGAGCAAGGAGGAAAAAAACGGACTAAGCGAAGAGGACACTCCCAGCAATGCCACATTATTTCTCGAGACTATTCTATACTTTGCTTACCTCTAAGCTGACAGTGCATTGGAACCTACATGCTCATTGAACCAGTCATATGTCCACCTTTTGCCACATGATCATGCTCCCACCCCTAAACACACGCAGAGAGCATGGTCGGGTGATTAAAGGAATGCCGCTGATTGGTCCGGCAAGCACGTAACTCCCACCACACTGTCACCTAAGGGGTGAACGATGTACAGTAAGGACCACAGGAATCAACCACACACCAGAATGTAGATGTTGGGATTCAACTGAACACGTTTCTCCACTTACGATGGTTGTCAGGACGGGCTCATCCAGGGTGTTGAACTCTCGTTGTTCCACCGGTGGCTTGTCGGCAGCGATCTCACCTTCCAACTGGGCATCATAGTCCTGGTAGGGGGGTCTCTGATAGCCCGCTGAACCACCCTGAAATTGGAACACTTATTGTGTATTGTATTTGTAACAGTGCTCCCAAGTTGAGCAAAAATATGTATAACGTTATCTATGGATTAGCCACTTTACTTGTACCATTTTACCTAAAAAAGAGAGCAGTGATTGTATCAATGAGGTAATCAACAGTCGAACTTGTTTTAGGACCGCGGACAACTCGGCACAAGGTAATGCACATAGCGTCTTTAACCGCGCTCTAATGGATGCGTGCGATCTTGAAACTCCACTTTCTTCGTTACTGAAGCGGCAGTTGTCTTCTTAACGGGTCTATCGTCCAGGGACCAGGGAAACTCTAAATCGCACGCAGCTTTCCCGAGTTTAGAATAAACAGTATTCTTCTTCGAGCACTGTCAGCTTGCCTGGGAACGTTCGCAAATATGCAAAGAAACACAACAGCTCAACGACCGTTTTTCTGAACTCCTACGCGATGATCGTAGTTCAACGTATTGTGAACGTGTAAAAAATTTTTTTGTCGGTTTATTTTCGGCACAGAGTGACACAGTGAGCGACGACGAACGAAGGTTTTTATGGGGCAATCCGCGAGGGGACATTTGTGCACCGGCGAATCTCGAGCAACAGCTGAACCCTGTGATGTTTGGTACGCCTAGGGCTAGAGTCGCTTGAGTGCAGCATAAACTATTAAACCTAATAGTAGGTTTGACAAACGAAGGCGAACGCCAGAAAAGGTCAATGTTGACACGTATGACAACTTACCTGTAAGATGCTCTTGTGTTCGGCCATCTTGCCGGAGATCAAATGGAATTTTTCTTTCAGCGTTTCGTCGCACGTTCGCAGCATCATTTATTTTATTTTATCATTTAAAGCTAGTATTTTTGATTATTTAGTTTTAATGCGTATGCGAGTTCATTGAAATATAATAATGCCGAAAAATTAATGGTAGCTTATGGTATTTCTCTAAATTTAGCCATTCACCGGGTAAACCTAAGAGCGCTCAAGCAACCTCGTATTTTGTCAACAAATGTCGTCTGCTTAAACTTTGCAATTTTAGAGTCTGAAATCATTTTTTTTTTTTTATATATATATATATATTCTACAAAATGCATACGGACGATTTTTCGGCGCTTGAAGATCCGGGCTCGTCACGCAAGCGGCTAAAGCGGCATCAGCGTTTCGAACTTGGTACCGAAACGGAATCTGAGAAGCTCCTTCAACAGATGCTCAACCGTCAGCTCGACACAAACTTCTCAATGAGACAGTTGAGTAATCTTTGCCCGTTTCTCTTTTTCTTTAAAGAAAGATTTAATAGAAACATTGTAACGCCGTGTGCATAGTAGAATTTACCAGCAGTACGTCCGATGTGAAGGCTTTTCCGACGCACAACTTCCAAAGTGGAAAAGCCACTTCAAAACTCCTTTTCAATCTGCCATTGCTTAGTTATTTTCAATTTCCAAACAGCAGCCGATGTGTTGGGAACATTACAAATGGTTTATTGTTTTAGGTGTGACCCATCATATCTGCATTACTTTCTCTTTGCCTTTTTTTATTTTAATGTGAAGTTGTCTTTTTGTGATGCCAGCCGGGAAAATAATTTACCCGAAATTCTACGTCCCATTGGCTGTCTAAAACCACGAGCAAACTGCCGGTAGAATACAGACTTCCTTATTCTCCCAGCACTTCGTGAAAACACGCCTTATAGACAACTTTTCGTGGATACACGTTTTGTCGAAACGAACTTTGCACTTGTAGGCACATATTCAACTTACCTAGCCCACCCGTTCACGTCGCTTCGCGGCGACAGTCTGCGGCGGCTCGTTAGAGAAAAAAGCCGATATGAGCTTTCGATGAAACGATCTGTCGATGGAACAATCTTTCGATTAAACGTTGTTCGATAAACGGCCGGCAGAATTTCGGGGAAGTTATTTTCCAGGCTGCGGGGTGAATAGACACTACCATAATAATAATGATTTTATTCATAAAAAAAATTTATGCAGAATGTTCTGGTCCACAAAAGCAAAGACCTGCTATAGAACATTGGTGTACCTCGGAAATCTTTTCGAAAGGCTTCTATAGCCTCCCCCTCTCTCTCCCTTCCTTTCCAGCTAAGCCCTTGCTAAAGACATATATGTATATTTTTCAGAATAACTTTACTGGCTTTCTTAATGTAGCCCGTTGTATCTCAACAAGCAATTTATTCATGCAGCCTAGGTGGTAGATTTCTGTAATGCACAGTCATTTCTTTTCAATGCAGAACCATGCAGACGCTCGATGCACAATTCGTTCCAGGCTAGCCCAGCAGCACAAGAGCTTTACACCTGCCGGAAGCTATGTCCAGCTCCCAGTTGCAGGGGCCTGCACCCTCGGCGAATACATCTCGGCCGGTTCCGAGGATCAGCAGAAGCAGCAACTTCTGCAGTACGGCCTCACCGACGAAGAGATTCAGCTCTACCTGCAGCACACACGTCCCAGGGTACTTGCAGTCTTCACATTTGCAACCTTCAAAGAAATCTCCAAAAGTGACACTCCTTCGTAATTTTGACATTTAGCAAGTCGGAATTGCGAATTACCGACGTAGAAAACGTCCCGTGTCGGACGCCTCTTTGATTAACCGCAAATTGAATCTTTGCCGACGTTCAAAGGCAACTTCGTCAAGCCGAGAATACGAGCGTACAAACATCGGAAATGCAACAAAGACCTGTGTAACACAGGCGTCCATGCAAAGTAGTTACACAGCAAAGGGTAGCGCATTAAAAAAACACTCTCTGCCATTCACACCCCATCGACGGCTATATAGTATTTAAGTTTTACGCTTTACCGTATTCCAGAGCACCGAAAAGTTGCACCCGTTGATGAACCCTGGAGTCCTCGAGGGCAAGCTCGACGAGATCCGGAGCAAAATCGAAGAGAGCCGGAGGTCCCAGCTCGCGACGTCCGAAGCCTTCTCGGGTGCCAGACAGCTGACCAGGTCGGAGATGGACGTCGAAAGAACGCTCTACGCCGACTGCCCCGAGAGGAAACACTACAAGGGACTTGTCGTCGAAGCGCGGCCGCGCACCGCGCCCTTACCCACGGACCCCATGAGCCACGTTGCCGAGTTCTCCAAGGCGCTCATGGAAAGGATCAAGGCCAAGAAGAAAGACCGGAAGTGCACTCGTGCCGTGGAAGACGAGAGCAGCGACAAGACCGCGGAGGAGGCACGGGGCGGGGACGGCGATCCGCGGCCGGATCCCACGGTGTTCCACGCCGTGGTTCCGCTCTCCGAGGAGGAGATCCGAGGGAGCAGGCTTGGCGTCGACGAGATCCGAGAGCTTCCGAGGTTCCGGAGCTACAGTCCCGGTGCCGAGAGTCGGGTAGGGGGTAACGTATCGACGGGGATGTACTGCGGCTCATAAGCGACCGAAGATGTGCGAGGAAAAAAAATTAATTGTTACAATAACTTGATTATCGTAATAATTTGACTTATTATTTGTTACAGTCGTAATTTGATACCTTGTCAGATAGTTGTAATTGGATTATTGCAATAATTCTCCTAAAAAAGAACCAGGTGTTAGTCGATAAGAACACCAAAGAGTACATCACGGGGCAAGAAGCTTAAACATAATACAGTGAAACCCGTTTAAAACGAACCCACGTACAGCGAAATATTGTCTATATTGAACTCGCATAAAAATTAACATAAAAATGCATGCAAAAAGGTACTTTTTATAGCAAACAACATATTGGCTATATCAAACTTGTTCCCCTCGGGAAGGCTTCCAGAAACGTGCAAACAATCGTCTTCTAGCCTGTCCCTTTCACCCAAAAAGAAGTAGGAAAGAAAGAAAATTCTAAAAGCTCGAGTTGCGAACAAAATTGAGCGAAGCGATTCGGGAGGGGAGAAAACTAAAAAACACACTGCACGCACGCACAGAAAAAAATATTTTCATTCCAAAGGGAGGCGATTCAGAAGGGAAGATAAGCTAAGAAAACAAACTCTGCACATATGCAAAAAAACAAAACAAAAAAAAACGACTTTACAGCGATTGGTTACAAGGCGGAAGTGAAGAAATGAGAAAGAAAGAGAAGCTCTCGCCTTACAACGAACGCATCATGGAAGTTCGTTGTAAATGATTTTTGCTATATCGAACTGATCGTAGCGTTTCTTGCTGTTCGCTATAAACGGGTTTGACTGCAAAGCAGACCCTGCGTTTCTTAAGCTTCCAGTCACTACTGGGTTTCTGATTTCTTTAAGAAGAAAAGCATGAAATCGACTAGTCCCGTAAAACTTTGTGCTGCAAAGTAGGCATCAAGAAGGCAAGAGTGCGAACAGCCCGCACCCACCATTGACTTCTTGAGTCACCGCCGCGGAAAAGAACAAGGGGAGTAGTTTTCAGACAAAAATATAATGTGCAAAATCCTTCGAATTTTTTTTTTTTTTATCAGATTAACACATATGCACTGCTTAAAAAACGTGCCCAGATGAACTAATTTGGCATTGGGCAGGTTTAGATTGTTTTTACTACCAGAATGGCGGGGAGCATTCGCCAACATTCGTTTATGTAAGACTTGTGAGGACCCCACAAACCTAACGCAGTTGCCCATTGAAGGCTTCCCTCGGAGGTGAGCAAAGGTCTTGCATTCCATTTCCCTGGTTTCCTTTGAAACTAGGCTTACACAACACTTGTGCATCTTCCTTAGGAAGTCTATACCACATAGTGAGTCGGCATCTATATACACATCCATCGTGTCTGAACGAAGTGCGTGTTTGAGTTTGATCCAATTCCATCCCAGGTTTTGTACCTGAAGAACCTCCACGCCAAGACCGACTTGAGGGAGATCATGGCACTCTTCTGCCGTTACGACCAGGACGGGAACGCCGTCAAGTACCGACTGTTGTCGGGAAGACTCAAGGGCCAGGCGTTCGTGACGCTTCCAAGTGAGTAACACAGTTCATTAATCTCCAGTGTCCAAAACCAGAAGCACTCTGTTGACTGCCTTTTCCATTCTGCATGTCTACTTTTTAGGCTTACAAGCTGCGAGGGACGCAATGGAACTGTGCAACGGCTATGTCCTCAGAGGAAAGCCTATTGTCATCGAGTACGGGAAGCAGAGGGACGAGTCGTGAAGAGGGTTTATGCGAGTTGTGTCATTTTGTTAAACAGCACCTGACCGCTTTGCAGCGCAGCGTACCATACTCGAAAAGCCACATGCAACCGTGAACGCCTCCACGCTGGAACAGACAAATGGAAATGAAGACGGAGCAACGTCGGGTAATCCCCGTACTTAGCGGAAGCTGGATCTCTCTTAGTACCCTTCCTTCCAGGCAGGCTGCAACACGAGTTGCACAATATTCGAGCACAAAGCAGTAAAGAATGCGCATGCTAAAGCTTCGTGGCAGCAAATGTTTTATTCTATCATGCAATGATGACAAATGTGCGACGGCACTGACGCAGACTTCAGCGCAGGAGTTTGTCGCACAAAACACACTTCCTCCTATGCAACATGAAGAACTGACAATGACCCCTGTCCAAAATTCAGTACGGTAACTTTCAATCTATTTGATCCAAGCTGGTGGCATCTGCTAGATGCTAATGGACGGCTTTTCGTGGCCAATCAAAGAATGGTGGAAGACATGCACTGAAACAAATAACGGAAAGTTTAGGAATTGTAGACAGCTCAATGAGACGCACAAATTAGAAGTGCTGCGTCGGCATTTATATCAGAGTCGCTGGGAACCAATCATTTAGCACACGCTCCCTTGATGCGGTGAATTCTATCAAGGGTTTTACTCAGATCAGCGCTCCGTACAGAGCGGTACTCTCTTTGTCACCATCAAAACTGAAACCAATAAAAAAAGAAATGTATGGTGACAAACACATCCCAATTTGCCGTTGACGTAGGAAAGCGACAGCGTCCGATCGAACATGCTGCATTTTTGCTGATATTAGCGTCACGAAGTTGGACTCATGCTTGGCACTGAATTTCGGAAAGGGTCTGTTACAATTTTTATGTTAAGTATGGCTTCGCGATGACCAGGGGTGGCAAAATTCCAATCGCGTCATGGAGATGGGGACGACAAAACTCCGACCTCGCCGTTCGATTCCATTAGGGCGACTTGTCAGGTTTGAGCCGCTCGGTCCAGTCGTAAGGCTTCCACCAGTTTGTGAACTCGAGAACCTTCTTGCGCTGCTCGTCGAACTTCTCGTGCTGGAACTTGAGCCAGAGTCTCGGCTCCAGGTCAAGCATGCCACCTACTATTTCCTAAAAGACAAAGAAATGGCCAGTCAGCAATGTGTGAGTCTACAAAGAGCATTCTCATGTCTCATACACTAAAAACACATAAATCTCCGCCCCCTCCCAAAAAAAAGAAAAATATTTAGTGTCAAGATACAGCGTGTACATCCCAAATAAACTTTCAGCAAAAAATAATTAGATGTCTCATAGAACATGTGTCCAAAAATAAAACTCCTATAAATTTTTTTTTTTTTTTTTTTTATGCGTTTGAGTTTAACATGCGCATCCAAAAGTAACATCTCCTGAAAATCTTTTCATTACAATATTCAGGTCGCAAAACTCGTTTCCATTCATCTGATGTGCCGAAATAGAAGCGCGTTTCGGAATCACTCCTTGTTCAAAGTGATCCCCGCAACGGACATTGCTCTAAAAAAACTTTCCAGGAAAAAGACTATTTTGTGTTAAATACCTTTTCAAAAGAGTGCTTTCCATCGAATGAAAAGGGATAAGAAGGAATACCAATACACAAAAACCAAGAAAGAAGACAAAGAAGTACCTGAACAAGCTAAAGTTGAGGCTTGGGCGAGTTGGTACATACTTCGGAAATTAAAAACAGCGCGGAAAGACGAGGACCAGACAAAGAAGTGAAGTATGTACCAACTCGCCCAAGCCTCAACGTTAGCACAGCGCTACGTCCGTGTCACTTCTTTGTCTGGTCCTCGTCTTTCCGCGCTGTTTTTAATTACCTGAACAAGACCAACCCCTTCACAAACCCCAATTCTCTTCTCAAAATATTGTAATACTGTTGCAAATAGAAAAGGATCGACCAGCGTAAAACTGAAAATAAAGGTTCATTCGGCGAACTTGTGCCAGAAACAAAAGAAAGAATGAGAATGAAGAAAGCAGCATCGAACATAGAGGTTTCGGTGGGACAGTATCTCGAGCGTTCGGCCTAGAACATTCAAGCATCGAGCAAGGGCGAGACTGACTCGGCAATGTCCATGTTGGCCTTTTTGTCTCTTACTCTCGATATCTCAAACATTGTGCGTCAAACATTTGGGATAAGAGTAAAGGCAAATCTTGTAGAACTACAGAGTAGCGTTCCTTCTCGGCCATGAATGCGGCAATATAAAACTTTCCTTAATCTCTCCCTTAATGATATTTCACAGTATGTGTCCTACTTAGCCACTTAACAAAACGAAAATGTTTTTCAAAAGTTTGGTGTCCCTTTACGTCGTCGAAACAATCCGGCGTTCTTTAACTTTGGGGTCCAAGATGTTATTCTCACCCTTCCGAAGTAGGACGGGAAGTCCTTTTCGTCTTCGACGACGTGGGCAAACCCACCCTGGAGGCCGAAGTCAACCGAAAAGTAGGGCAAACCTTTGGGAATCTAGAACGCAGTAAGGAGAAAAAAATTAAAAAAAAAACAGGCTCAGTGCAGCAGGACACTCTTTCGCTTCTAAAAAAGGCAACAGAACATGCACAAGATTGGGACGTCTGAAAGACGAGTTTGTACAGTATCTCGCAACGATGGAACTGAACAAGTGTGCTCAACGAATCTTGAATAAGGCTTAAAGGTGCACTAAAGACGTTTCTGGGATCATCTGTTCTTGGTGATAATTTATCTGACGAATCCAAGCATCCTAGAAATCCAAAAATTATGCTCACGCGATGTCTATTTTCCTTCTAAAAATGTGGTAGAAGTTTGTGCCACGCCTCTTTCTCAGCGGTAAAACCTGGAGCACAGAACCCAGCGGAGGCGCTGCCGGTGCCTCTGCTGACGCGCGCCCGTCGTCACGCTGCCAGCGCCTACACTGAATTCTGTGCTCCAAATTTTTCTGCTAAGAAATGGGCGTGTCACAACCTTCAATCACATTTTTAATAGGAAAATAGACGTTGCACGAGCATAATTTTTCGATTTCTAGGACGCTAAGATCCTGTAGAATCAGTTATCACCAAGAACACTATTTCAGAAACGGCTTTAGTACATCTTTAAAGAACACATGCAAAGGAATAAAACATTTTTTTTTAAAACAGCCTAGATGGAAAAGGAATGTAATAAAACAAAATTTACAGCGATTAGAAATTTTAGAGCTATATTTACCGAGAAAAACGAATTTGTAGTTGGCTCCCGCGGGAGCCAGCGGAAAAGTGGCCGCTATGGTCATGTGGTGCTTGCGCTCTTTCAAGAGCTTCATATGGGCTCTAAAAGCTACTTATTAATCTTCGTTTGAAGTGCAACAAAAAGATGAAGATTAATAAGTAAATTTTAGAGCCCAAAGGAAGTTCCTGAAAGAGCGCAAGCACCACATGATAGACCTGTGTGCCTGTCACAAATAGACGGCGCCGGCATGCCAGAGTGTTCCCTTCCGGTGACGGTGGCGTGGAGAAAAGCATTCAACTGGCAGCGCGCCATGCTCGGCGTGCTGCGGCGCACATGTGTACCATGTGACCAGTGGCGGTTCCCGCAGGCACCAACTACATATTCGTTTCGCACCGTAAATATACTATACTTCATCTCACTTAGCACGGACTAACAGCGAAGGTTGTGCAAGCGCGAGCGGCTAGCTTCGACTGCCTTGACTGGAGCACTCGCTGCACGAGCGCTCGTGCAGTCGCCGAGGCTTCACCCAAACCAACTAGCTCGGGCTTTTGGCACGCGCGGCTAACAATAGTCCATGCTAAGGAGAGACGAAGTATAGCTCTAAAATGTTTTTGTTCTTTGAAAATTCATTTTATGGCATCCTTTTCTCGTCCAGACTATTTAAAAAAAATATACATATATTTTTCCTTTGCATGTGTCTTTTAAAGAAATAAGAAAAAGCTGTGCTCCACAGAAGGAAAGGCTCGTTCACACACTTGAGCTTGCTTAGGACCGAGTTCTTGCAATCTCTTACAAGAGAACACCCTGGCAGGCTAGCACCACTTATGAGTTGACTCTAAAACTGCATTTAACTAGAGCAAAGGTTATTTGCAAGACCAGAGGCAAGTACTATCTATCAGAAATAGTCTTTTAAAACATTGTCAAAAGATTTTTGAGCCAAGAAAGAAAGAATGATGCGCTACAAATATAGGAAATGCATGGTAAGTGGAAATGTTCCACCACTACCCAATAGATTTCACCAGAATATTCTCTCGTCATAAGAGCTTTTAAGAGGTTTTAAGGCACACGGTCATAGATGTGTGGATGAGCCTCAGGTCGGTAATGCTTTTGCCTTACCAACCATTTTGCAATTCTGCTCGATGAACGTTAGAAAAAAGGAAAGTAGAGGATCACAAGGCGCTTGCACGTAATACCAAGTATATTTTTTATTTAAGAGCGTGTAAAGTCAGACTTACGGAATTGCGCAGACCTTTCTTCGAGAGATCCACCAGTTTTCGATTCTGAGCCCATTCGCTCTCGCACTCCAAAATTGCTTTCTGAAGAAAAAAAAGATGAAAGGCAGTCATGTACCATTAATACAAGCCCCGCTAATATGGATACCCTGCTAGATAGACAACATGATGAGGTACAAACTGGATAAATATGTGCATTATTGTCTCATTACGTCGTATTATGGTCAACTCACATTATGGGCTTTTTTTTTTTGGGGGGGGGGGGGGGGGGGGGGAAGAGAGAAAGCAGGTGTTCACATTAACGGGACATTGCTGTACTGTAAACAACTTAATTTGCGTAAATATTAAGGCTTCAAATATGTCGCAAAAATTCTATCACGCGAGCATATCACCCCATGGTAACGAATGCATTACTTATCACTTCAAATCGTGAAAGCCTGTGCCTGTAAATTCTTCCTGAAACTCGCGCTTCGCAAAATTTGTGAAATGTTGAGCCTGCAAAAATAAGGTTATTTACAGTATGTACCAGATTGGAAGCCTGTTTAGCCTGGCGATTATCCATTCATGCTTTTTTTAGCCTCCCCAGAATGTTCGCAAACTGAATTAGTATGTACTTAGTTCAAACTACAGAGTGCCCATATGGTTATACCCCCAGGTGAAACCGCTCTGCTAAGGAGAACTTTGGTTTAAAAAGAAATTAAAGTGGTTCTGTGCTATCATACTACCTGATACAAAAAATGGTTTCACCATGCGGAGAGCAGTCATTTGCTTCTTGCGCAGGAGTTGCGGTGGCGTCAGAAAGACGCGAAGCTCTGATTGGCTCTGATTGAAGGATAGTGGGTAGACCTCAATGCAAGATGCCTTGAGCTCTACCCACTATCTTTCATTCAGAACCAATCAGAGCTCGGCGTTCTGACGTCACTCAATTCCCTGCAAAAGAAGCAGACGAACTTGCGCTCCCCATTATTTTAGCCTTGACAATCACCAATATAATTACCTCACCATTAATCTGTTGATCAGATGAGGAAACATTTTTGCAAATAGAGCTGAAGCTGCCTCCCCCAAACTGATGTTCTATGTCAGGGTCCTCAAACTCATTCGAGTGTTAGGGCCAGAATGGCCTACCCCCGAAATGGCGGGGGCCAACGGGAGGGAGGGTGAGAGAGAGGGGGGGGAGGCAATATTTTGCTATTTTGGGACAAAAAAAGGCTCGAGGTACACCTAAGCACTTCTTACGAGTTGTGAATGTGAAAGCATGAACGCTGTTCTTGTGCGCGTTCTCGTGAAGTGGCCACGCTGCGCTGACATCGGCTGTGCTGCCACTCTGCAATCTGCTCGAGCAGCCTCTGCCGCACTGGCGGCGTGGGCTTGCAGCGCCACGGGGTGGCACTCCTTGAAACTATGACGCGCACCAGCCAATGGGAGCTTATCCATCAGATTTCGGCTTCACTTTTGGAGAGGTGAATTTAGCTACCGTTTTACGTGGCTTTTTGCTTGGCTTCAAAGCTGGGAGGCTTCAGATCGCGGCCTCACTTCGCACTATCGGGAGAGAGAAATTCAGCTGCCGTTTGGTGCGGCTTTTGGCGCGACTTCAAAGCTGATGACGTCTGCTCGCTCCATGGGACAGTTAATGCTTTCGCATCAAAATATAAACAAACAAATAGCGGTGGTGTTTCACGTTGCAAGGCAGCCGACTGTTCCAGTGACACCCAGAGATTTTCTAGACAAGGAACTTTGTGCCGACTGCTTTTTGTAACATCACCGTTTTGCCACCTTTAGCTTTCACTTGTATATATGACTGCTTTGGGCCCACACCTGATGTTATCAAATTTAAAACACCGCCACACCATATTACTGGCAGTTCTCAATACATTGAACAACAGCAAGCACATCGTCCTTGCCCTGTCACATAATTCACTAGACTCAACAGGTGTATAAAAATCTCTTCATACAGTAGTCTCTGCCTTCCTGGCTATTTTTATAGCAGCATTATAAGAAAATTATTTTATTCTTAAGGTGTTGTTTGACAGCTGAAAGCCCAAGCTCATAGCTTTATTCTTGGAAGTCTCTCCTGCTGAGCAAGAGTTTCTGCAACCGGAACGTCTCCTTGTGCTAAGAGCTCACGCTTGTAGCTTAGTACTGGTATTGCCATTCTGGTAGATTTACACCAGAAAAGAATGAAAAGTGAAAGCCGTTTACAACTCCCTGTAACGCCGAATTAGAGCGCAGCTCTTGAGGAAAAGGAGGGAAGGGTACTGAGGGGAGGGTATACTCCTCCTCCTTTCTCCTCACCTCCTTACCCACCTCCTCCCCTCATTCTTGAATCTCCTCCGGCGGGGGGTTACGTGACCTCGGGGGGAGGGGGTCACGTGACCTTGGGGCAGGGGGGTCACGTGACCCTCGGGAGGGGGGGGGGGGGGGGGGGGGGAGGTTTGCACGGTGCATTATGGGACATTTCCCATAATGCACTGCGCGGTTACGCCGACGGCGATGCTGCTCAAGCCGGAAATGGGCGCCTAAGAGCTGCGTTCTAAAAGCCAATATTTAGACGAAGCAATACTCAGTCCAAAAGATAATCAGAATAATGCAAAATTTGTGAACCCGTTATATGAGCATAGTTTCTTTTTGAGGGGAAATAAATTGACGATATAAAACTATTAACCATGTTGAATATACCTCAGACTGGGGCAGAAAAGAACATAAAAGTCAAAGGAACAGAAAGGGACAGGACGACGTCTCAATTTGAGACATTGTCCTGTCCCCTTCTGTTCCTTCGGCTATTATGTTCTTTTCTGCCCCAGTCTCAGGTTTGAGACATCTTCCTGTCCCTTTCTGTTCCTTCGACTTTTATGTTCTTTTCTGCCCCAGTCTCAGGTATATTCAACATGGTTAACATTCACTTGCTCGCCTGCACCCTTACTATTTTATAAAACTATTATTTATGACACATGTGACACTCGAGGCATGGGGGCTTGCATCCGCGGAATTCTGTGGGCCGCTGCTACAACATCAGTACCAGTATATCTATATCTGGTATCAGTATCAGTAATGATACTGATACCAGGTTTTAGTACCTGGAATTAGGTACTGATACCAGGTACTGCCAGTATGTGCTAGTTCTAACACATGCTTTTCCAAACCACCCGACATTCAACAAACCTCCGAGTGAGCTGGATATGGCCTTACTAAACAACAAAAAGTAATACTACTCTGAATGTAAAAAAACTGTCACAAAAAGAATCTTAAAAAAGTATGCCAAGTACATAGATTTACTTACAAAAGTAGAAAACATTTTGAATTTCAACATCTAGACTTGCACGCCGCGACCTGGTCGCACGGCACACTGCAATCATCGCACAGAATCGTAACTACCAATAGGCAACAATGAGAAAAGTAATTTTCTTCATTTCTTCATACTCCCTCGGTTTCTAATTATTAAAAAAATATTAGCAGAGACTTTTACCTCCAAAATTCTGTAACGCATAGAAGGAAATATTTAGGAGTAAGAGTTTAAATTTGTTTAGAAGACAATAAACGCCATGTGATGTCACGGTGTCAGGTCGTGGGCCATGTGCCACGGTGTAAGTGCAGACACGTCGACAGAAGAAATTCTGGGAATAAGAGGTGGTTATGAAGCATTTCACGCTTGAAAGAAATGATTAGAGAAGAACGGGGCTTATTTCTTTTAGACGTCCCAAAAGCCGATAGATCTAACTTTTGGCCTGGTTTCCCCGCAACAAACTATTACACAGTTGTCCTTTTCATTCACATGCGTTTGAGGCGTTCGTGTAATAATAGAAAAAAGGAGCGGCCAGGTCCAAACCTTGAAGTACATTGGCGCCATGTCACCGATTCCCTTAGGAACGGGGATGCACTCCAGGTATGTGTGCGGATGGTGACGGAAGGCAACTGCGGTCTCCATGAACACCGTGTCTTTGCCCATGTCCTCAAACATCCTGGTTAACCCCTTCCTGAACACCTGCGAGATCGAGGACGCATTTACGCCCGCGCCGAACGAGGAGCCTTGGCGCGCGCACGCAAGTGTCCGATTTGGGAGAACTGAAAGATCTGCCACTGGACCCTGGTTCGTTACCTGGACTGAGGTGACCAGGAACACGTCCGCGACTGGTGTCCCTTATCGCGTCCTCAAAAGCGTCAAACACTAGCGGCGCGTAAGTGTTCGACTCTCTGGGGAGCCGAAAGGGCCGACGTAGGAACCAGGTTCATTACCTGCACTTCGAGCCAGACGTCCTCGTCTAACAAGGTGCCAGCAGCGACGTGAGCCTGTGGAACCACGAGACAGTGTCCGTCGGTCAACGACTGGTGCGCTGGGAGGCAGAGGTACGTCTGAAATGCGACGCAGCAAAGGTCAAGTCCATCGAAAGGCTTCTTAGCCCATCTAAGGCCCATTCACACACACAGCAGTGTTATACACAAAGCACTGACTTCGCACTATGTCAGAGCTGTGTCAGTGCTGTATCAGTACTCTGACGCATGAGACCCGGCCATTCCCTGCAAACACGCGCAATACAGCGCACACCTACTGCCGACAGTACCACTGTTACAGCACTGGCTTTGCGTTATCTCGGTGGCAAGATGCGTGTGTGAACGGACTCCCGAGACGTACCCTGATGCCGATGGCAATGATGAGATGCTTCTTCATTTCGGAACTTTCCAGACAGTACCTGCACTTGTCCAAAGCCTTGCTCATCTGCTTGTGCTCTGTAATAAAAATAAGAAATGACAAAACCAGTTTCAGTCTTTTTTTTTCTTCTTTGATTTTGGATCTTGTCCTTTGTCTGACGCCCGAACATCCCGTCCGACGTTAAAGAGAACTTTCAAATGCAATCCTTGAAAACTATCGTCAAAAATGAAACTTATGCTGAGAATCTAAGAAAGAGATGAATTTGACTGCAACGTCACTATCAAGCTCGTCACAGGCACGGCGAGCAATGCACGTCACGCGTGTGTCCCATCCCTCCCCCGAGGACGTCACTTATCTGATCGGTTCATCAACTTGCCAACCAATTTATGGGGCAAGAAATTGTTTGCTTGATGGCAGCAAGCGTGCCGGAACATCGCTTCAATTAGCCATGCTACCTGCCACAATAAGAATAAGCTAGATTTTAATACAGCAGAAAGAGTTTAGCTTTTAAGAGAGCTGAACAAGATTTGCCGTAAGAGGGAACATGCTTTGTTTTAAAAGAATGGCACATCACGACGCATGTACCTTGGATGGCCTTCCACCTGTCTCGAGCGTCCTGCTTTGCAGAGGAGTCGTGTTCTGCTGCCTTGTCTAAAGCCGCATCGTCGAAGTCGTAGTCCTGGCTTGTGGAGGGGCGGGCCTGAAAAGTAACAATAATGATATTAAAAATACTTTATTATTCCATGCATCATCAGGACCAAAGTCTTTATATAAGCCACGTGAGTGACTATATACAACGTGCACAATGCACGAGTAAGACTTTTGTAAAGCTCCGCGTCGCAAAGAACAGAAAGTAGGCGCCGACAGACCTTCCCAGCCAGTCGAGCAAACTCTGCGTTTTGGTCCTCTGCCGTCGTCAGCTTCTCCCGTTCAAACTGTGCGACAACAAGAGACGGATGTCACCTTTTGTCCCCCAAAACTGATCCAACACTCTGATCCAACAAAACTGATCCAACACACGAGACTATATGTGGCTTGTTTGGTCAGCCACAAGTAGCAACACATTTTTTACAACGGCGGGCTTTGTCAGGCACAAGTTGACTGGTCGGACGATAGCACACGTACCATGTTTTTCAACGAGAGGCGGTCGTCGTCTGCAAAGTAGCGCACGCGCTCTCCGTCCTTGTTGTGCGTCGCCATCTGAAAAGCGAATTCGGACTTTGTCACAAATTTCTAAGCTCGAGACCCTCAGTTAATGCCGCTCGCCGGAAGTTTCATTTTGCAATTTTACGCTACAAGCTGCAAAGTAGTTGTTATGAATTTCGGGAGGAAAACAATAGTGTGGAATCTTGCTTGCACTTAAATACGAGTGCCAACGTATGCAAGTTCTATCAACGCTTAACTCAGCTGCATGTTCAGGTGGTCTCTCTGCAACCGCAACATTCGCACCACCACCTTTTAAGTTGTCTCAGCATACTCTTTAATTATTGAGACAGCAACTTTGTGCTACCGCAATGCTGGTCACACGTGCGACTAAAACAAACTAAAACAAAAAGGGATTGTCTCGTTCATATTTTGCTCCTACGGGCTTCAATGAGGATGGATGCTTTGATGGCATTAACTCCTACGATCATTACGGGGTATTTTGACGAGTTTTACCGCACTAGCCAAGTCAGCCCTCTAATGCAGACGTAAGATGCCACTTCGAGGTAGGTTGATTTCCCGCTGTCCAAAAAGGGGCAGATTTACGCGGAGCGCACGTTTACCTGCTTCTTGAGCAGTGGTTGCGGTGACATCGGAACGCTGAGCTCCGATTGGCTCAGATTGGAAGGACAGTGGGTAGACATCAAGGCAGCTAGCACTGAGGTCTACCCACTATCCCTACATCAGAGCCAATTAGAGCTCGGCATACTGACGTCACTGCAACCACTGCTCAAGAAGAAGACAAACTTGCGCTCTGCATAGGTCAGGCCTATGCAGAGCGCAAGTTAGACCACCCCCTCACCCCCGATTGGTCGGGGGTGAGGGGGTGGTCTATAAAAAGATGCAACGTCACGGGTGGGTTTTTCTGCTAATGAAGAGTGTCAATACCTTACTCCGTCTGCACAGCTCAATTTTTTGCCTATAGCTGGGGACAGGTTAAGAGTTCAGAAGAAGCTACCCCACCTTCCTCCACTTTAGCAGAGTGAATGCTGGAGGGGAGGCAACCTCCTCTCCAGCATTCGCTCTGCTTAAGTGGAAAGAGGTGGGAGGAGCTTCCCCTCAACTCTTAATCTGTCAGCATCTATACACCTTTCCAAAAACCGCTCCTAGGCCGCCGCCATGTTGTTGATGCTGATGCGGCTGGTGCGACTCTCGCGCCCTCTATCAGCTAGAAATTTTCTGCCACTCTCTGGGACTGTGAAGACCCGCTCAGCGCGCTTCTCTACCTACGTTTTTGCGGTTTTGCATTCGATGATTTCTCGCCCCTCTTGAAGTTTTCCACTTATTTTTTTTTATGCGTGCTGCGTGCCCTTTCTGTGTTATCTTCCATTGTGAGAAATAAGGCTGGTAAGTGCCTGCCATTCAAGCTTTTCTGCTCGACATTCACGGGAAACGAAAGACGTGAAGGACGTCGAACGACCCTCGACGCGATTTTGCGAACATTGTTCTCCCCCTCCCAGAGATAATCCGTGTAGAATCCTCAGCCATCTCCAAAAACAGTTGTCCGGGTTGGGGTGAGAAACGGGTCAGTCACGTTTGTTTCTTTGCCTTGGTGCGGTTGTGAAAAAAGGAAGCTCTCCCCAAGACGTGCCCCAAAACGAAGTCATCCCGGATTCCGTCCGATCGTCAAGATGTGACTGTCGTCGACTGTGACTGTGTTATTTGAGATCTTTCTCAAATAAATTTGTTTCAGATAACGCTGCATCGTGTGGTACGTACGAATGTGAACACTTCCTCAATTGTATGTCCGTGTCCTGTCCATCGGTAAACACGTTATTTGTGAGCGTGAAAAATGCATGCCTTTCGGCCCTCTTCTGTTGCAATTTATTTTTGACAGCAAAGCCCTTTGTCGTTTCACATGCGGCGAATCCCGCGGTGCCGTCAAAACTTATCGCAAGAAAAAAACAAATAACTAGAACTATTCATTCCTGTCGCATTCGTTCTGTCGCGCGTGTACCCACCAAAAATAGTTTAGATTTTTTTTTAACTTTTTTGTTTTTTTAAATGTGGCACAATGCTTTCTCAATGTCCTCGGGAAAATACATGTACCATGAAACACAAAATATAGCGGGAAAAGACGAGAATTTAGCCGCCAGCAGCGTTTGAAACTGCACCTACGCAGGCTGCGCCTATTGAAATCACAGTCCACTCGGTTAGGGTTAGGAGGGACGCCGGTGAGAGTCTAGCCTCAAACTCAGTGACTGGGCTCACAAGCGGTTTGTTGCCCCTGGGGTCGAGTGTTTTTTGGAAAGGTGTATACAGATTGCCGTTTAACTCAAAAACAAAACACTTCTTCCTAAGCTGTCTGGGGTTGAACAGAACCATCACCTTCGTTTTCCTGCGCTGCTGCGAAACGTCCTGCTCAGGCTCTGCCAGTGGATGCGAGAACCCACGACTGTCCGTCTTCATCAACACCACCACCTCCTCCTTCCGCGATCCGCGCTGCGATCCGTCTGGGCATGCGGAAGCTCCCACGGACTGCCTGGCCTTCCGCGCTTCTTCGATCTCGGCCTTCAGCTTCTCATAAAGAGCCTTGTTCCCCAGCATTTCGGCCTTGATCAACTTCGCGCCGAGTGCGTTCAGCTCTGTGTCGGACAGCAATCGGGCCGGCGCATTCTGCTTTTCGGGTGGGGCAGCGTCTTCGTCTGAGCGTTCTCGAGAAACGGCTGGACTCGGTTTCCTTGGCGTCACCTCTGGTTGTGTTTCTTCGGTGTCCCTCCGAGCTGGTTTCCGTTGTTCGGGTTTCCCATGTTCTTTTGCTATTGGTCGCCGAGACAAAAGAAGAAGGGAGTTAACCTCCGTAGCTCAGAGGTGGATTTATTAATGCTTTCCATTCAAAATCCTGCAATCCGTTCAAAACCCCGTTATGCCGTGCAGCCCTCATTTGGTGGGTTGCCATTAATTTTTTAGACTTCGCAAATCATAAACACCGTACCAAAATCGCAAAGTTGGTCTTTTAATTAAAAGCACAAAAATTCCCAAATCTGGGGTGACTTGAATCAAGCATCACTGCTGCACTAGCAACCTCCATATATCAGGGCGGATGACAGCAGATTGTTCTTAGTTGTGATCAAAGCTGAGAGCAACAGAGCACTATTCGACCCGCAAGGTCCGCAGCATGCCATTCATAGAGAGGCCTTCCATGAACAGTGTTACCGTGACATTCCTAGAGATAGCCCAGCCCAGACAGAGGTTTATTGATTTTCTGTTCTTGAAAAACATGAGACACTTTGCAATCATGGTACCTGGCTTCGTGTGACTTGAAGGCAAAGTGGATTTCGACACTAACCGCAACTCTTTCTTTAACTCGAAGGGCAATCAAATAAACAATTATTTTCACTTTCAAGTCATATTATAGTTCTGGTGTAATCTAGGTCAGTCGATGCCCTGAAACCTAGCTCGCCTCCCCCTTTTTCTCATTCCAGTTGACCTCTGAGGAGCGTGGGCTATCTCTAGGGGTATTACGGTACTTATTTTTTATGCATGACAAAGATGTCTCAACCTGGAGGAGGCTCCTTGAAGAACTCCTTCTTCATCCAGCTAGGCTTGGACGACAAGTCCTTTCCGCTGTGGTTATTCGACCGAGACGTCCAGCTTGGGTTTCGTGCGCCATCTTCGTCTGGTCTCTGGAACCCACGACCTTCTCTGGTCCGCTCTCTCGTGCCCCCGTGCCGTGAGCTCTCGTCTGTTAATAAATTTTTTCTTTAATAAATTGTGTTTTTAGTTTTGTGAAAACAAAGCTAAATGGTCACAAATGTAGTAGAAATGGGGGTGCAACTACCAAAGTTCAGTCAGTCAGTAATGTCTCAAATGTATGTAAAACGGTCAGGCTGAACTGAACGAGCCGATTAACATGCATCTTGAAGAGAAAAAAAAAAAATAAATATAAACTAAGCAAGCACACAAAATTGCCAAACCTTCTCGTACTTATCTTATAAGCATCTGTTCCCTAACCAGATTCCAAGCTGACCTCGGGATTAGTTTATCGACCAGTGCCTAGAATACCTTAAACAATGTGGACAGGCGTAACTTTTGTTGAACATTTTTCATGGTGAAAGAAAAAGGTATTATAGGAAGACGGACATATAGGCAAACTATTTTTGTCTGATCATCTTTGTGCACTGACACATCCAGTTGAAAGTTGGCGCAATTGAACCTTGTCTATTCCTTGTCAACATGGTTCTGCAAGCAGGCAACCCAAGGTTTCTTCTGCTCCCAGCACCAAACCTAAAACAATGTTGTAATAACGTCAAAGAGCTTACGTCGACGTTCGGAGCACTGCCTGCTAAAGTCACCGCTGTCGTCGTCGGCGGGTCTCTGCATTCTACCGCGTTCCCTCGGCCTCTCGGCTCTAAACCTCTGGGAGTATCCGCTCCTACCGCTGACACCCGCTCTGTCTTCGGCTTCCCTGATCAGTGACTCCAGCTTTTCTAAAGACTGCAGAAAAAAGAAAAGAAAGAGCCGTAACCATAGCTTTTGTGGCCGATTCAACTTGACAGGTGCTCTGAATCATGCTTCAGGGGGGTATGCATCATAGAAGCTTGAACAACACAGAAACACAACTAAAGGTAGCGAGCTCACACTTGAGGTGACATAACTAAGGCAACACTGTTTCGCTGTTTGAAGCTTCACTACCGACTAATTTGGAGCTTATAACAGATCTCTGTATGCTGCACTGAATCATGCTTTGGTACAGTATGCACCACTAAAACACAGACATCAATGAAGTACAGTCGTGCAGATGCTGAATAGCTCCACGCGAGGAGTTGTTTTTTTCTGAGGAGCGCTTGACTGGTGACTGACATTCTAACTTGCACTGATGTCAAGGCTCGTCCATGTGGAGCAGATAGGAGAGAGCCCATCAACGCAAACTGCCGTTATTATCAGCGCCTGTGTCACCGCGGTTTGATTGAAAAGGGGAGACGACTCTTGAAACAGCAGATGACAACGGCAGTTCGCGTTGATGGGCTGCCCCAATCTGCTGCACATGGACGAGCCCTGACGTCAGCACTAGTTCGAACATAAGCCATTGGTCAAGCACACCTCGGAAAAAACACCCACTCACAAAGAGCTATTTAGTACCTGCATGACTGAACAATTGAAGGTAATAAGCTCACGTTTGAAGCGACAACAAAAGCAACAATGTTCTACCATTCCGAGCTTCATTGCCGAAACATTTATATATGTGAAAAGCGTAGAAAATATGGTACCTACTACAGGTAAATTGTGATCTTTTACACTACTTACAATGTAGATATTATAGCATTTATTGTATACAGTCGCCGACAAATTTTTCGGACATTCGATTATTCGGATGCTTTTGCCGAACTGTCCTCACCCCATAGAGTTAATGTATAACATTGACTGCAATTTTGGACGCCACAAAGCTTATTGCTCGATATTTCGGACATAATTTGCATGATTTCCTCAGTTTGCAGCCACAAAACAGCCGCCGCAGAGAGTTGGAAGCTTAGTCGCCGCCATTTTGATTGTTCTGATTTCGCCCTGTAGCCTCGATACCACGTGTTACGCAATATACAAGCTGGGTTAAGCCTATAGTCGGGTTTCCCGGATCCAGTATAGCCAACATGGCCGCCGTCTGCCCATTCTTATGATCCTTCCAGTTGTTCTCGTGGTCCGCGTTTTTCGGGTGCGACTGCGAGAAGAACGGCCGTTTGCCGTTCTTGTGGTCTCTGAGCACAAAGGTTTTTTGCGGATACGCTTAGTATTAAAGCGAGCTTGGTAGACTAAACGTTGTCTCCAAATAGTGCCAAATGGCGCCAACTTCAACTTCGCTTTTCTGCCAACAAAGGCGCCGACAAAGCTCAGCACCATGATCAAACAGAGAAATAAAAAAGTGAAAAATGAACAATATGAGGCGGAAGTTGCACAAGAGCTTAAACTTGACATCAAGCCAGTGGAAAGTGGCCAATATGCAGAGGAATATGCGCAAAAATTTTATAATTTGGCTGAAATAAATTTTTCTGACTACTTGACTATTCTGACAATTTCGGGATCCAAGTCCGAAAAATCGGTCGGCGACTGTAGTTGTAAAGAGAAACAATGGATGCTTTTTGGTTTAAACAGGTATATTCTTGTTTGCAATTATAGTCTGTTGCAACTCATGAAGGTAGGGTGAGGGAAAGGAAGGCCGGGGAGGAGGAAGCAGATGGAACACTGGAGAGAAAAGGATGTTTCCCCATCTCCCCTCCAGCATTTCGTCTGCTTCTCCCTTCCCAGCCTTCCTTTCCCTCGCCCTACCCTTCTTGAGCTCTAACTTACCATAGCGAACCTTTTGCAAGTGTCATTCCTCGAAATATCAAGCTTCATCGCAGGCACCGACACACTAGGCACCGCAATGACAAAGGTAGATGACAATGTGGCGTAGATTGTTACTGGGGAGACTCCACCGTGGGAGGTTTTATCGGGTAGCTAGCAGACGACAGACAAACGTTCCGAACTTCAGCACTCACTCCATATCGTTCAGCGGCCACTTCCTCTAGCGAGCGTCCCTCGTCGACAGCCTGTTCCTGGATTCTCTGATAGGCCCGCCTGAGCCACTTCAACCCGCCGTCACCGACAGATGACTTGACCAGGGTAGGCTCCTGCGGCTCCTCTGCCTTTTCCTCCGGAACGCCGACGCCACCGTCCTTCCAGTATGGGTTGAGCTCGCGTTCGTGCTGTCCTGGCTAGAAGATTGACATCGCAACCGATCGGCAAAAGGCAGCGGTGGACAGCAATTACTTCGCACCGGTGCAGAAAGTGCAGGGCGGTGCTATTCTGGTACGAGTTTTAAGACAGCCTGCACTCGTAGGTCGAATTATGGCAGTGTGCGCCAAGTGCAGCTGATGCGAGAGGTGTAGGTAGGCCGAATGAGCCCACCGTCGACGTTCTGTCTACTTTGGGCGTCTCTTCCGCTCTGCTTTCCGTTCTTCCTTTTAAAGGAACACTGAACTAAAAAACTGTCACTTTGAAGTGCCTAAAGAGAATGTGTGTGTCAACAAAAAGAATTACTTTTTTCAAGAAACAAATTTTTAGAGCAATACTTCGGTTGTGAGACTCATTTTCAGTGTCATGACATGCTTTTATTTTGGGAAAATGTGCCAAAATAGAAGCGGATTTTGGAACTGCATTGCCCTGAAAATGAGTCTTGCAACACAAATATTGAGGGGGGAACTTCATTTTGTGACAAGGGTGGAAAGTTGGGATATTCGGCGATTCATAACGTTTAAAAAGTGCAACGAGACACGGACAAGGAAGATAGACAGAGACACAGTGCTAACTTACAACTTAACTTTATTTACGTAGTCACCTAGTATATATAACCGGTGTCAACAAAAAAACAAGTGAATGAAGTAACACAAATACACACTGCTAAAAGGCTAAAATATTGTTATATCACTCATCACACTCCCTCTGTGCCATTGACAGATAAAGGACTATGGTTTCTCGACCAAGGGAGAGCAGTTTGTGTTGCTGTAACAATATTTTATTTTTTTATATAAGTAACAATATTTTAGTCGTTTAACGGTGTGTATTTGTGTTTCTTCATTGGCTTGTTTTTTGTTTGCACCGGTTATACAGGGTGTTCCCAGTCACCAGGCTCAATCTAAAATGGGCCGTAAAAATTGATGGCTGCACGTAGCAATATAAAATAAAATTTTGGTTGGGGCTAGTTGGTTCATATCGATTAAAAGGTTAAAAGGAGCGAACAAACAGGACGAAAAAGTCCTGTTTGTTTGCCCTGTTTGTTCGCGCCTTTTAACCTTTTAAGCATTACTATAAACTTTTCGTCAAAGGTGTATTTCACAGGTCGGTTTTTCCTTGTAAAATTTCAAAGTGCAACTCTCTTTCTGTAAAAATATGGGGCCAAGAAACTTGCCAGTGTCAACGGCGGGTGGCGATGCAGATGAGCAAGTCGAGTAGCAGGGCAGGTTTGGCGCTTGAATTGATAGATGGCACTACCTCCTCAACGAGACTGCTCGCGACCACCATGGTTTATTCAAATGAACATAATATTTTTGTAATGTACTTTTGTTAAAAAATAAATGCGGACAATAAAAGCAAAACTGAAAGGGAAATAAAATGTGTTTGCATAACAATGACGCTTTTGCTGCCAACGGATTTCATGTGCGTGTCGTCTGCTTTCTTTCGCTGGTCCGCTAGACCTTCAGACGCTGCTCCCGATGCCATCTATCAATATGTGTGCCAAACGCACCTCGTAACTAGACTTCGTCGTCTGCGTCACTGCCCGCCGTTGAGCCTAACAAGTTTCTTGGCCCTATGTTTTACACAAAGAGAGCTAGGCTTTTTAATTTGACAACAAGAAACCAACCTGTGAAATAGACCTTTGACAAAAAGTTTAGACTGCTACATGCAGGCGTCGATTTTTATGGTCCATTTTAGATTGAGCCTGGTGACTTGGGACACCCTATAGACCTTTTCCGCAAAGGCGACGCCATCTTGAATTGTCGTCACTTCCAGTATGGGCGAAAACATTGTTTTTCCGTCACCACGCCAATAGAAGGCATTTAGGATATAAGTGTAACCGCCACCCATTCTCCTTTTGCCTCCCCTCTATTTTTTTACTGTTTACGAGTTGAAACGTTTTATTATTTTTTCGTTGTCCATACCGGATACGCCTATTAAAGGGGCCCACCAACACTTTTTTGACCGGTTTGAAGTTCGCGCTGAAACTGAGCTCCATGAAAGCAGGAACACCGAGGAAAAAAAATATTACAGAAATTCGCAATATTTTGTGAGTTATTAGCAAAATAAATATTCCAGAAAACAACTTTAAATAAGCAAAACATTCCGCTTCATGACGTAAAATGAAACAGTTTAGCGATTGGAGCAAAGCGGTTGGCCAATTGGACGCGAGTTTGGTTGATAGCCTGTCGGCCCGGTCATTGGGCCTGGTCGGCTCGTCGGCCATTAGGCCTAGCTGCAACCATCGTAGCTTTGGGATCGGGTTGCCATCATCGATGAATATACCGGGCTTATCGGATTTTGAGTGCGGATCTGGGCGTCGCGCCGTACAAGGACACTCCACGCAAGCGCCGCGACGCGTCTCTGCCTCAGTCCGCATCGACAGCCGCGGAAGACTCGTCTCCCGCAACTCCGCCACCGGAGCCACCTCGGCGAGTAGGAGGTACAAACTGATGAGCGCCGCACTTCACTCAAACAGTGAAAAGTCTGTCACAGCACCAAAAGAAAATAAGGGTTCCCCTGGCTCCTCTTACTGCTTTTAGTTCACCGGGACCGGGGGCGCACAAGTGAAAATATGATGCGCGTTGTCTGCACCGATCACTTGTCGTCTGCTCGCAATGGTACGTCGCGGACGCCACTGGGAGGTGCGCATGAGCGACGAGGCGTTGTTTTCGCCCTTTTTGAACTTAAATTTGCAACTTTAGTAGCTCTATAAAAAGGACTTGTTAGAGAAATAATGACGGTTAACGTGTGATGTACTTCATTTCGCTTCAAAATTTCTGGGATGGATCTCGCCAATCACGAAACCCAGAGAATGTGACGTATTGTGAAAGGGAGCGCCGTTATGCGCGCGCATTCGGCACCTCGCGGCGCCACCGTCGGAGGAGGTGTTTCCGAGTTGTCAAATTAAAATATGATGCGCTAATATTTTTAAACTCTTTCGTTGTCCACTGGGTTTCCAGGACCACTAGCGTGTAGAAGCCGCAAAAAAAAGTTGATGCTCAAATACTGTTGGAGGGCCCCTTTAAAGGGCAACTCCACTTCTTTTCCAGTAGTGCAAAACTATACAGTTCTCTTTGTTATCATCTACAAAACCCCCATGGCAAATATTACGACGGAATTCCGCCTAGAAGTTCATTAAAATCGCTGTCAAAGTTTGACAAGCACGAATCCGCTGGTTTTGGATGAGACGTGCGGACCAGACAACACTGCCCGGCTTCATTTCCGCTTTCTCCAAATTCCTTCTCCCAGCACGTCCGTGACGTCATCAAGCATGTACAGCTCCTTTTTTTTTTTTCAATTTTGTTTTTTTTTCTTGGGGAGAGCACGGGTGGCGCCAGCACCGTGAAAGACATGAGTGACGCGCTCGGCCGGCCCGGCGCTCGACTATTGATACTACTGATAAGCCGATCGCCTCGTTGAGCGCGGCTTGTGTTACATCACATACTTTTGAACACCAAGTAAAAGGAGGAGAGGGAAGCTGCTTTTGTAAGAATTTTGAGTGACAGGTTAATCTTCTATAATCTTCTGGGAGGAGAATAGCGACGCGTGTGCTAATCCAGGAGGCACAAAGGAGGATCCTGATAAGAGGGGAGCTCCTTCTTCCCCTTGTATATCACATGGGTGTACATGCTCAGTGATGCCGAATATACAATGTTGTCCGGCTTTGCCACCGTTTCGGTTTCAGTTTGTGATCATGGCTAGAGTAAAATTACACAAAAAATATTTTATTTTTCGCGAAACAAAAGATTGGGTATTGTTTTTGAGCGCTTCAAAAAGCAAAATCGGACACTATCTCAAAAATTTTGAAATTAAGCGGAGTTGCCCTTTAAAGGGATCGTGAACCGAAATTTGGATTTCAAAAAAACAATGCTGGAGATGTAGGCGGGACGCTACGATCCCTACAACACTACTAGTAAGGCGATATCTCAAATGAACGGCTGTATTTTTGGAAAAAGAAGTCGAAATTGAACCAGGCCGACGAGGCGCGTGACTGTCAAGATACCTAGTTTCCTCCTCTCTTCGCTTCGCTCCCTCAAGGCCGCGAGGCGGAGAAGACGCTAGGCCGTTCCCTCTCCTTCTCGGAGAAACATGATGTCAACATTCCTGCCAAATGCACCTCTTTTTTTGAAAAATATGGTCATCCGATCAAGATATCGCTGTATGAGTGATATTTTGGTATTTGTAGCATCCCGTTGCACGCTTTTGCCGCGTGTTTTGGGGAATCCAGATTTCGGTTCAGCATCCCTTTAAGGTGGCTGGGGATGGGAGTACACGAAAAAGGTCTATATATACTAGGTGGCTACGGAAATAAAGTTCAGTTGTAAGTTAGCACTGTGTCTCTGTCTATCCTCCTTGTCCAAGTCTTGATGCACTTTTTAAATATTTCATTTTGGGAGTTCAGTGTTCGTTTAAGAGATTTTCTTTTTATTTACATACTGACCTTGTTGATTGTCGACAGCGCCCTGTTTCTCTTTTGCTCTTCAATCCTCCCGGCCCTCCTCTGTGACTTGTAATCTTTTGCCGATATAGTTGGAATGATGTCTCCGATGTCCATCCAGTCATCTCTCTGAAACACATTAAACACCGTTGAGCAGTTTGAAACCACTTGAGTGGCGCGGACAAACTGCTTGCAAAACGTGCAGAACCCTCCAGCGGTAGCAAGGGGCATTATGGGAACTGGCTATACAGAACTAGTTCTAGCAGACGGCGGAGGTGAACGTGGAAAGAAAGATTTCTGAAAATGGTCAATTTAATGTCCCCATAACTGCACTGGACAGACTGACAATGCTACAGACCCACTCAGCAATGCTTCTGTCAGGTTTGAGAACATTTCCGTAATCAGCCTATCGTAACATTTGAGTGCACTTGCTGGACCGTTGTGTCGAATTCTGCGGATAACCGGACTGGATTTCAAGAACATCTATTCATAACGCGTTCATACCCAGAACCATTCAATTTAAGATATATGTTCCGTTTATCGACTTCATCAGAGAATTGGAAACACGACAGTGTCTGTTGCACCATATTATGAACTATAGTGACAACATAGTCCCTATTTTTTAAACACATAAATACTCACAAAGATTGTGGCGCGTACGTACAACATATTAGGGTGATAAATCAAATGTGACTGAATGAGAGATGTTAGCATACATGAACTGGGTTTCTCAAAAACGACTTGAAGTTACCTGTTGCAGTTGCGGTGGCGACGGCGACGGGTCTTTGGCCAGTTTGGTCGGCGCTTCCGCCCAGTCATCGCTGCTACTGCTGCTAGAGTCCTGACGTCGGATCAAAACGAATAAGCCGACGTTAAGCTGACGGGCCGTGTGACATCAGTGGTGGGGTGGCTTGCGCTCACCGACTGATCCGGGCTCTTTGCACGAGCTGAGCGTTTCTTGTGTTTCCGCTTTTTGTCGCGCTTTTTCCCTTTCTTGGCCTGCAAACAGAGCGTTGGCTTGTGCACTAAAGTCGCTGACAAAGTAACTATATTCAATCGTGGCGACAGGCACACTTACTGATTTCGGTGTATCCATACTTCCCAGCACGGTCGGTTAAAATTTACGTAAAATTTACTTCGAAGCACTAGAGCAACGCTCGCTACATGAAACGGCGCACAGCCTTTCCAGCTATAGAAGAAAACGGTAGTTACGTTGATTTTAAAAGTTCGAAAACGACACTCGCACTACCTACACGGCGAGTACGCAAGAACTTCGAGCATTGAGGTTACGAATGTAAATACAACCGCTTTCTTCAAATATAAACCCTACCCGTGCCCCGTCGGGCGCGACGCCGCTATGCGTCGCCGGCATCGCGACGCTGCGCGTCGCCGCACCGCGAGTCGGAGCGGCGTTCAAACAAAGCTGTAGGCGTTTCTGAATAGGTTAATTTTAGCCGTAAAGTTACTATAATACACGCTAAAGGTTTAAATTTCGCTATATAAAAAACATATTGTTTATGCAAGTTCCAGATTGCAAACAGACAAGGTGCAAAACCGTGGCGTGCCTGTGGCTCAAGTGCATTCTGGGAAACATTTGGCGACGAAGATTTTAGTTTCGGTTTCCAGCCGCAAGCGAACATTGCGGACCTGCAGCACGCCCCTCAGCACAGCGTTCCTAGCCAGATCTCCGTTAGTAGACCTATGCATGTTATGCTGTACTTCTCGTGACCTTATGGACGGTAACTGATTCAAGGCGAAGGCGAGCCACGCGAGGTTACTTGCGATAGTGCGCTGTGGTGTGTGTTATCATGTGCAACCAACTCGCCCAAGCTGCTACGTTAACGAGCCACGCAAAGGTCGGGAAAGCGGAAGACAAATTGTGGTAGCTATCCCAGGCAAAAATCAGCCCACTTCCAGCTGGATTATGGAACTGGTCCCAGCTGGAAATTAGGCAGTCCAGCTAAATTCCAGCTGGGTCAAGCTACTCCGTTCCACCTTAAATTGGACCGCATCGGATGCTACGCGCTAGCGCAACCTCTCTCGCGCGGAGAATAGGGAGTTTTAGAATAGCGCACGCTAAAGCTTTGCGTACGCAAAGAATAGCGTCGTCGCCACTGCGCATGCTCCAAACGCAAACCAGGTTTTGCGCTTTGCGTGCACAATTTTAGCGTGCGCTATTTCTCGGAAATAGCGTGCGTACGCAAAGAGTCTTTGCGCTTCTCCAAGGAGGATTCGTGATGAGAAGTTGGCTAAAGCCAAGACAGCCAAGACGAGCAACAGCTTCCAGGATTATGTCGGCGGCTGCTTTGGCGGCGTCGTGAGTGCGACGTCGGCGGCATCCTCGCGACTGCGATTTTCAATACGGGACGACATTTTACGCGGTTTGGCAACGACCCCCGGCAACTTGATGCTTGCGACGCGCGAAAATTTCTCGGCGAAGGTACGATGTGCGAAGGTCAGTACACGAGACCTCTCTTGCCGAGGCGACGCAAGCGGACACGACCTGTCAACCGCTCGCGTCGCATCCTCATGTGTAAACAATTCTAAAATAGTACTCTGAACCAAAAAAACTTGTTTGTTTCTAAAGTTACAGCATTTCGTGTGTGAAATAAAAATTGTGACTGTATCTCGGTGGCGTTGCAAGCGCGAGCTGCTTGGGCTTTTCCGTCGCGGCGGAGAAACGCTATTCTGAAACTCTCTTGCGTCGCGTGCGCGCTAAATTTAGCGCTAGCGTGCGCTAAAATTGCGTACGTTATTTTAAGACTCCCTAATATAGCACGTGATGTTCCGTCTGTGCTCGGCGACGCGTGGAGCACTAGGGCATGTGACATGCTGGCAGCCTTAATTGGCTGGTGAAGTTCATAGCGTTGCCTGAGGTCCAACGTAAGGTGAAATGGAGTATGGTGGCCAAATGAATCTGGGTAATGAAAATTAAAGAAAATGGCTTAAAAACGATGGATAAAGGAAAATAACATGGATGTTATTTGAATCGCACCGAACAGTTTGTACCTTTGTTAACAATGTAAAACTGTAATTGATTTAGTTACAGCATTTTCCCTCATTAGTGAACAATGTTAAACTTCGAGTAACACCTTTTGGCGGGCTAGTTGGTTCATGATGTGTAGAAATATTTCCGGCCCAAACCTAGCGGTTAAATATATTCATAAAGTACAGGATAAAGTGGGTGGACTATGAAAGGTGTCTCTAATAATTACGTATTTCCTATGCCGGACAGCTTTTATTGGGCACCTGTTTTCTGGCTTCTCCCTACTTGCAAAGATTCCGAGCGTGCCGGATGTTTAGACGCAGAACAAGCATCTTCGCACTTATGCACGAGGAGAGATAATAAAGCAACACTTATTTATTGGAAATCGAACTATATTAACTTGGCCTTCACTTTATTTTGATCGTCTACATGCACAGGGAGTTACTGACAGTGTTACTGCGTAGTCCATTGCCGCCTCTCTTGGTTTTCCACGTGTGCTTCCTTCGCATGGTACGCAAATCCCCGATGCAAAAAAGCGCCGACGCTTTAAAATTTATTTTTCATTTTAAAATATACATTATTTGTACAGTTCGTTACTTACTTGTTTTAATTTATTACATCCAACCGAACGCTCACGTAAAATATCGTGGACGATGGGACGTTATAACTCGAGAAATAATTTTTTTCAATATTAGAGACTGTGGTCTATTAAAAGGTGAATAAGTAACTAACAACTAAAAATAATCGTAATATCGAGACATTAAATCATTGTTGAAAAATAGCTATTTAATTTGACATTAATTTTATAATTGTAAGATATATAGAAAGTTATAAGCCGTCAAAAAAGCACCAAAACGTCATGCACGGTGGGGTTGCACCTTAAAAAGCCTCTGACACGCCAAAAAAAAAATTTCATGCTAGGCGTTCAAATGGCATGTCAGGACATTACAAAAAAAAATGTTTCACTATAGAGGTGCGTAGTTTTTTTTATAAAAAATAGAAATACGAGGCCCAATTCAAAGTTCCCGCCAGTGCACTGTGACGTAACAGTGTACCGCAAGGTGTCGGGGCGGTCAGAAGGGAGGCATCGCCGGAAGTCACGTGAGTTGTATCCCTCCCCATGCTTAAAGGGGTCATGAAACGCTTTTCCAACTTTTTCCTGTTTAGCTTTCCTCCTCAACTCATAAATCGCGCATTCCACCAAACAGTTAAAGAAGACGAAAATAGGGAGTCCCCTCTTGCTCGCGCTGTCGTTTGTGTAATCCGGACACATCCATTCTCCCCCTAGAAGATTATCCCGTCGCTCAAAATTCAGACAAAAGTTGCTTTCCCCACCCCGTTCATTCCGAAGCTGACAGTGCTGTTGAAGCTACGTTCTCGTTGGGCCAGCCACACTTGCCACGTGAGCGTGGCAAATGTGGCTGCAGAGAATGAAGTCAGGTGATGAAAGGGAGGCGGCTGATTGGTCCGGCAAGCGCGTAGCTTCCACCACAATGTCAGCTTAGGGGTGAAGGGAATAAGTGAGGTCCGGTTGGGTGTGACGTCAGTTTGGACCCGACGACGCGCTTTCGGAACCGCGGATGTACCGCAGTGAAAAGGCAGAGAGGTTGCGAAGGGGAGGAGGTACGAAATAGTCCGCTCTGTTTTCAAATTTTCGCACTGAATGTCAGGCTTTTGACTTTCTACTTTTTTTCTTTTGGTTCACTGAACGATGTGCTATTAGTAAAATCCCAATCTAGAATGATTTATCCCAACCCAAAAATCGTTTCATGGGCCCTTTAAAGGGGTCATGAAACGCTTTTCCAACTTTTTCCTGTTTCGCTTTCCTCCTCAACTCATAAATCGCGCATTCCACCAAACAGTTCAAGAAGACGAAAAGAAGGGAGGCCTCTCTCGCTCGGAACCTGGTTTGTGTAATCCCCGGACACATCCATTCTCCCCCTAGAAGATTAGCCCGTCGCTCAAAACTCAGACTAAAGTTTCTTTCCCTAGCCCGTTCACCCCTAAGCTGACAGTGCTGTGGAAGCTACGTGCTCCTTGGGCTAGCCACACTTTTGCCACGTAAGCGTGGCAAATGTGGCTGCAGAGAATGAAGTCAGGTGATGAAACGGAGGTGGCTGATTGGTCCGGCAAGCGCGTAGCTTCCACCACAATGTCAGCTTAGGGGTGAAGGGACTAAATGAGGTCCGGTTTTGTGTGACGTCAGTTTGGACCCGATGACACGCTTATGGGACCGCGGATGTATCCCCGTGAAAAGGCAGAGCGGTTACGAAGGGGAGAAGGAACGAAATAGTCCGCTGTGTTTTCAAATTTTCGCACTGAATGTCAGGCTTTTAACTTTCTACCTTTTTTCTTTTGGCCCACTGAACGATGTTCTATTAGTAAAATCCCAATCTAAAATGATTTATCCCAACCCAAAAATCGTTTCATGGGCCCTTTAAAGGGGTACTCCACCGATTTTTGAGCTACCTCAACTAACTATATTTTCTGACTCCCCGTCCTTTACTCTCTCCGGTATGCTATCTAGAATCGCGAAATTCATAATAGTTATTGCGAAATCGGCAAATGAAAATGATGCAAAAACCAACATTCAAATATACGCGCGCTTTTCAGGATCGTGACGTCAGTGGCAGGCAGGCTTGCCAGTCGAGCAAGCAGCCAAAAAATAGAATATGCCAATCATTTGTTCCGTGCTGGAGCGCGGGTACTGCAGCGAGCTTCCAAAGCATTCATTTGACACCATGAAACTGCTTCGAATCGGTTTAAAACGAAATCTACAGCCCAAAGAGTGAACCCCTGCCTTCCACTGACGTCACTTTTTCATTGTTGCCAGTAGAGACTTCGAGCTTGAAAAATACGGTGAGGACCAAAACTGTAAATTCAATAACTTCGCGAAAAAACAATATTTTGACCTAATATTTGGGATACTATTTTCGCGATGTTTGTTGGTTAGTTTAGCAAAATTTCAAGCAAATCGGAGACAATGAAAAAATCGGTGGAGTAGCCCTTTAACGCGAGCGCGTGTAATGTATTTTTATATAGTTTTGTTATTCTCCGCACCTCCACGAGCGGTCCAAGCAAACAAGGTTTCTTTTATTTGCTTTTCATCGCTTAATGTTGCTGTAAAGGTAGAAGAAGAGGAGTCAGTGAATTGACGTGATCAATTTCAGTGCCTATAGTCTGTTTCACCTTGTGTTGTAGCGCAGGAAAGGATACAAGCGCGAGCTCCTTGCTCTATGACGCACCTCGGCGGCACAAGCTCTCGTGCACCAAGGGCAGCTAGCCGCCAACGCTATGAGCTCGCGCTTGTAGC